TTCTTCTGAAGTACGTAAGGGTGGACTAAGACTGCCAAACTTTCAAATAGCGGCAGAGGGGCATAGCAACTTATGTTATGCAGCACATCACTATATATTCATTTAGCACAGTATCTACCACAACTGGGCACTCAGCAGACAGGACAAAATGTAAATAGTTTAAAACAGAGTGACTAAGAAACATTCAAGAGATGTTCAAAAGAGTCATGAAAAATTAACATGATGAAAAAAGTTTCGCATGGTTTTCAAATTTAGGGGCACCAAAATATACTTGTACTACCTTGATACAATAGGATCTAGTTTGAGGCACTAAGAAGGATCAGACAACAGTTTGAAAAGAGTTAGGGCAACATCAAATTCTGCAGAAATTGATGCAAGAGGAAACATCAAAAATAACAAGTTTTATTTATTACTTTTGATCGATCACAAGGATCAACATATAACGCCCTTCCAGGGGGACGAACAACAGAAAAGTGGGTGAAGGGCAACAGAGGACAATGTAAGATTGAAAATAATAATCTATAACTTATCAAGGGTTCATGAGGGAGGGAGGGCAGGCAAGGGAGAGAGGGGGGAAATGAGGAGCTGATATCAAGGGCTCAAGTTGAAAGAAAATGCTTTGAAAATGATAATGTACAAATGTGCTTGACACAATGGATGATTGTATGGATTTTGATAAGAGAAATAACGGCCCCCCAAAAAAGTATTTAATTAAAAAAAATAACAAGTTTTACAAAAAGCTCATGGAAATAGTAACCCAAAGAAATCAATAGTTCGGAATAAATCATTTTAAGAAGGGATGAGATGATGCTGGAGATGAAGTCAGCCCACAGCATCAGGCCATCCATATCAACTTCAGGGAAAAATTTAATCTTGTTCATGATCTAAAGCAGTGGTTCTCAACCTTCCTAATGTTGCGATCCTTTAATACAGTTCCTCATGTTGTAGTAACCCCTCAACCATAAAATTATTTTCGTTGCTACTTCCTAACTGCAGTTTTGCTACTGTTATGAATCGGGCGACCCCTGTAAAAGGGTTGTTCAACCCACAAAGGGATCGCAACCCACAGGTTGAAAACAGCTAATTAAATGAAGAGGATTGATAACAACAGAAACAACTGCTAAATTGGTTCCACTTACACAATTCTGATTGAAAAATGAAAATTGAGCCAACTTTCTGCTTGGTGGGTATCAAAATCATTGCAACTAGGCTCTCAATGTAAATTCTACACAAATGGGATCAAGATACTGAAGCCTATCTTGGAAGAATTGTAACAGGAGCTAAACTGGCTTTACCAGTATGATCCTGAAGGCAAAATTCAATCAAGCTATATCTTACAAGAGGTGGAAGTGTTTCCAGTTAAAACAAAAATGAACCAGTTTTGTGAACCAGAACACAACTCGTTTTAATTTAATCCACTGAATTGTATGATATGTGAACAAATACAATTTGTTCAATAAAACTTTTTTTTAAGGTGGACGAGTCAAGAGCAAGGTTATGACAACAGTTTCTTGGGATGCTCAAGGCACTGTGCTTTTGTTGTTTTGAAGGAACAAAGATCAAGAGCACTTGCTCATTATGAGAATGTTTTGAGAAAGTCAAAACGTCAGTAGCAGAAATATAACCAGGGGGTAAAAGAGAGTGGATATCAAGGAGTTTAAGAAAGAGGTTCAAGTTCAAAGAGTATCTTTTGAAACTGACTATGGTAGCAATTGCACAATATTGCTTGATGTGATTGAATTATAGAATGCTATGAGATCCCAATAAAATCGTTTGGAGGGGAAAATAACAAATAACACCTAGGAAAGTTTCATCAGAGAATCCTTCTCCATCACACTTATTTATTCCTCTCATCAAACAAGGGCAATTTTTTGAGTTTTCATGGGAAATCACTAGGCATCCCCATTACAAGACTGACTCGGCTCCTTCTGGCTTCTTTGTGTTTCCTAATCTTAGGAAAATCTCTAAAGGGCACCCATTTTGTTAATAGTGTAACAAAACGTCATTAACATGGTTAAATTCTCAGGATGCTCAGCTCTTTAGGGATGGACTAAATGGCTGTTATTATCACTTACAAAATGTCTTGCCCTTCATCAATTTATATTGAGAAATAAAGTTTTAATTTTTTGCTTTTATCTTTTAATTTTGTTTTTCTACCAATTTTTAAAGCCCCATCATATGCAACTATCATTCATTAACGTTATTCAATATCTAACAGAATCATAACAAAACAGCATCTGCAAAATATAACATGCTGTTGTCTCCGCAGGCCTGTCTGGATAGGACAGGCTGGATGAACAATCTGCAGGAGAAAACAACGGGACTGACAGTTCCGGGGGCACATGGGAGAGGGGGAGGAGGGGGGAAGGGAAGAAGTGGGGATAACAAACCCAGGGACAAGGGAACAACAAGCGATCCAAATTGGTGGGGAGGTG